GACAACGATCATCTGATCCGCTAAACCACTCACCACTGCATCTATGAATTGATGAACCGTTTGGTTGCTGTCATTGCACTGCAAACGAGACATACGTTTTGAGTAGTAGTGGTGTTGTTGTTGTTGTTGTCGACCAAAACACAGTTACCATTGATTTGTGTTGTGATATGTTATAAGACAATAGCCGTGTGTCGTGTGAATAGGCTATTGGATCCGTTAAATGCTCGACAACTGACACGTGAAGAGTTGTCGGTAGCCATGAGTGCGGACACGGATGAGACGGCAAACTCGGTGTTCGTTAACTTCAATCAGGACTCGTCGTACGTGTCATTCATTGTCTCATTTATGTTACCATTGATTACAATCTTTGTTTGTTTTTATTTGCTTTAATGAGTCATTCAATTGATGGCTAATATGTATAATGTATTTGAGAGAAAAAATAAGCAAAAAAATGCATTTCGTTTTCAATGTCTTTCAGGCCTTAAAGTAATGACTGATAATAATTAGCAGCGAAACAGATAGACATTAAACGACCTTAACATACATTAAACGCACGTTTATATGTGTTGTTGTATTGAATGCAGTCTTTGACATCTCCTCTAAAGATTAGCATACCCGCCCCCTTCCTAGCCCCCCTCGAGGTGGGCAAAAAACATGGCAAATCGATTTGACCCAAAAATTTTTATGTTCTAGTCACGTGATTTCAGTAATTTTTTGATACAAAAAACTAGACATGTGAACCTTCATTTTACTTTTTACAGATCTAATCTAGCCCTTCTGGTTTAGCTGTAATCTCAAAAACCGCGCGGACAGATTCCGTTGACTGGTTAAATACCGTAATAATGTATACATATTCAGTGTATTTGCCATGAATTTAATGTAGTCATTAAGTTTTACTTTAAATTATATCTAATTTTTAAGCAAACATAATGTTATTAATGTTTACGCATTCATTATTCCCATATATTACCACTCAATTAACACCTAAATTATAATTTATCAATAAATAGCAATGAGCATGGAACAAATTCTCACAAAAAAAGATTTACCAACTATCATGTACATTTTACAATACCTTTAATTTAGGGGTTAAGAATGTAGGGTTTAATTGTAAAATAATTATAATCTAGCTTTAATTATATGACTGGTAAGAATGTGGTCATTTTGGATAATCTAAATTGTAGTGATTTTACGAATAACCTAAATATATAATTTAATTCATACAACAATCAAACGGTATATGAATTTACGTTAGTATTGAAAGTAGAGTACAGTATGACTGGCAGTACAGAGTGTCTGAATGCAGAGCAAAGGCATACGTATAGCGAATACAACAATAGCTGACGTCATGTGACCAACAGATGACTCGATGAATGACTTTGCGTTTCAGTCGACTCTTCAACACAACTCAACTCAACTTCTCTTCACTTCCAGAAGTAATCCATTGTTTGGACACAACTTTGACCACAACTTCACACCTTTTACGGCACACCTCTGGCCACACATCACACCAGCCATACAGCCATACAACCAATGGTAATGTCATTCAAACACTCAAAGCGATCAATCAATGCTATGACTAATGTTTTTGTTGTTGTCGTTGCTGTGGATGTGATTGTCTTTGCAGTTGATTCGTGTCGAGTCCTCCGAAGGCTCCAAAGTGGTCGAAGTGGACGCCGACGAGTCGACCGAAGCCTTCATCAAAAAGGTTTGCGCTCGTGATGGCAGTGATGGCCACTCAGTGCTGACAATGACTCACGTCTTTCTCTCTCACCATTAGATCCAAATTGCGTTCAGTTTTGACGACTTGTTTGGATTCAAAGTATTCAAAGACCGCAAACATAGCGTTCAGATCCCACTCTTGGAGAGGAAGACAGTGAAACAGTTTGGACTCACTAACGGAGAACGAGTCTATGTTGTCATCACTAAGAGTGCCACCGATGGCCACAACAACACCGACAGCAACGCCAACAACAACAACATCGCCGCCGAACGCAACCACAAAGTGGTTCACATCAATGATCACATCGAAGACCTGACCAATAGTATAGCGAACGGCGCGGAGAGGCGGACAGCCGAGGATGAGGTGGACGTGTTATTGTACGGCCAGTCGGGTGTGATTGAAAGGCCTCCGGACCCGACGGCCTGCAAACACGGCGCTAACGCCAAGTGTGTTCACTGCACGTCACTCGAGCCCTACGACGAGACATACCTTAAAGACCATAACATCAAACACATGTCATTTCACACGTATCTCAAGAAACTGACGACTGGTATCGATAAGTGAGTCAACAATATTTCAATTACCAAACGCTCGCAAATCATATAAATTGTACGATTGCTAAGACATTATATAATGAACGCGTTGTTTGATTGTTGTATAAATTAGGGGCAAATTCGCGATGTTAGAGAACATCAGCTGTAAAATCAAGTCCGGGTGCGCGGGTCACGCCCCCTGGCCGGCGGCCATCTGTACGAAGTGTCAGCCGTCGGCCATTACGCTGAACCGTCAGGTGTACCGACACGTCGATAACATAAACTTCGAGAACCCATCGATAGTCGAAAATTTTATAAATTATTGGCGAACCACTGGCTATCAGCGGATCGGCTACCTCTGGGGCTATTACAGCGCCCATAAGGACGTGCCGTTGGGTATCAAAGCGACAGTAGTGGCCATCTATGAGCCGCCGCAGGAAAGTAGTCGCGATTTTGTGAAACTCGTGGCTCCGGACAAGAAGAACGAAGACGTGGAGTTCATTGCGAGCCAACTGGGGCTCCAACGGATCGGTTGGGTGTTCACTGATCTGATCACTGAAGACCTGCAGAAGGGAACGGTTAAGCACTTGCGTAATATGACGACACACTTCCTGTCGGCTCAGGAGTGCATAATGGCTGGCTTTCTGCAGAACAATCACCCAAACCGGTGCCGCTATTCCCCGGACTCGCACTTTGGCTCGAAGTTCGTGACCGTCTGTATAACCGGTGATATGGAGAACGCGGTCCATATGGAGGGCTATCAGGTGTCCAATCAATGCATGGCATTAGTTCGCGACAACTGTTTGCTGCCGACCAAAGACGCCTCTGAATTGGGTTACGTTCGGGAGTCAAGTGTTGATCAATACGTTCCCGACGTGTTCTACAAGGATAAGGACGGCTACGGGAATGAAGTGCAGCGAATCGCTCGACCCCTTCCCATAGAGTACCTGTTAGTAGACGTTCCCATCTCCACACCAATGGAGCCAAAGTACAGCTTTAATCCATTGAAACACTTGAAACCATTTCCAATTGAGAACCGTTTGCTTGAGGGACACATCCAGGACTTCAACGCACTTTCCACTTATTTGCGACAATTCAATGGACAGCAGTTCCTCGAAGCCATGTCTGACTTTCATTTGCTTATATATCTCACAACAATGGATGCCTTACCTCTGAAGGAGACAATGAAACCATTGCTTGAGGCCATCAAGACGTCCAACCCTGCGATGGCTAATGAATGGGCGCGAAGTGATCAGTGGCTAACAATCGAGCAGCTAATGCTCGCCAACAGTTCCGCCCGTAAGTAATCCTAACACTTAAACCTCTATATAAAGAAATGGTTAGTCTTAGCACTTGGATTGGATTATTAATGGAGAACTTGCAGTTGTAGACCATTTTATAATAATATATGCCATTTTCATTAAAAGTCGTTATATTTATTCAAATTGTATAAGTTTCGTAATAAAATTCAAATTATATAACTTTTGAATTTACCGTAGTAAAATAGTTTAAGTATTGCAAGTGTAGTGCAATTCAGGTTTTGCAATAATAGGGCTGTTTATGGCAGTGACCAGTGTTTATGACCATAGAAAGTGGTTCCAGTTGTACACCATTTCACATATAATAATATACCGTAATGTTAACCGTAATTATTATTTTAATTATCTGTCCCTTTCCCTCTCTACTGGAATAGCGTCGACGTCGTCATCACACGCGGCCACTGCCGACATGTCGTCGTCGACGGTTGCGTCGGCAATGGAGGGCCCGAAGTGGTCGTGCAGTTACTGTACGTTTGAAAACGATGGCAACAAAAGCACGTGTGAAATGTGTAGTTTACCCAAAGAGACGTAATCTTAGGGTTTAGATAATAACAATTTATATACTATTATATTAAATATATATTAATATAAGTTATGATTTTTAATATTCTGTACAGAATTGCTATTATTTAGTCTTACGAAACAATTGCCGATATATTATTCAATTTGCAAATAATAATAAAAACAATTTTCGCTATAATTTATATTTTATCAATAATTCAATTAAATTAAATCATTTTCAAACTTATACTTTGATTAAATCGCTTGAAATTGATATAAATATTTACAGCAAAACCATTATTTATAATACATTTATCAAAAAAGAAAGGGAAACGACTGTCGCTTCCCATAAATAGGTACATAAAATGTAAATTATTATACATTTTTATATAACTGATTGAATCAGTAATAATCAAAAATGTGAATTCAAATGATAATTATATTCGAGTTGTTGTCTGTCTTCGTCTAAAGGGAGGGCAATAGTGTTATCCAATGTTCAAAATCCGGGCGAATAAGTCATGGGTGGGAAGTCTCCGTCGTAGTCTTGGGCGCCGCCACTACCACCGCCTCCGCCACCACTGCCGCTGCCGCTGGACTCACTCCTCGGTGGTGTCTTCTCTATCTCAAGAAATGGGACAAAACAATCATTTTATTCAAATTGTCAATCGATTGATGGTTTAAATGGGGTTTGTATTTGAGGACAACATTCGCCAGAATTCATATCAAACATAAAGCAAAACAATTAGTGACAAAACAACACGAATATGAGTCGTGTGTTAGAGAACAGACCTGCGACTGCACCGGCAGACACGGGTTGGAGGGCAGCAATGGTGGACACTGTGGTGGTGTTGGGCTCAAAGCCTCGGACAACAGCAGCATAACTGACGCTCCCTATGGTTTACAACAATTGTGTGTATATTTTTTTGGGCACAATTGGGGGTCATTTCGATGGGCAAGAGATGGGCAACGAATTATTCAAATGAATTCCAGCCGAAACACAGACAGAAACATACTGTCAGACAAACACAGGCTATACATACCTTGAATGTTGGCAGCGCTCGACGCCTCTGAGCTTCCTATCGTGTCATCCAATCTGAAGGCAAACATCACAACAAAAGTGGTTAGAGTTTGACAGTTGTGTCCTTCGCAATGACGCCCGTAGGGGCTGTGCAGTACATACCGGTGCTGTTTAATCAAAGTACAGTCTCCGCCGTCATTCATATTAAGATCATATATATAGAGGTAACCGTCGGCCGACGCGATCAGCACTCGGGGAACCTTTTGAATGTTGGCCACAGCGCACACATTGCGTGGTCCGGCCAGCGGCAGGCGGGCCGTCGCGAACGAGCGCCACTGATTCATCATATCGGCCATCGATGGCCAATAACTGCCCACCGCTTTGATACCTATTTCGCTTAGATATCCCATAACACCTTTTGGCTCTTCAGGCGGTTTACTAAATAAACAAATCAACAAAAACACAACACATATAGTCATGCCATTGATTTAAAAGATAAATATTGTTTACCACCACTTTCTCCATTACTCACTAACTTTAACTCAAATTGCGCTCAAATATTAAGGAATTATATTTCAAACTTTATGGAATATTCTCATGTTTACCACAATTTACTGATTAAAATAAAAATAAATTTATACTAATAACTAGTGATTAGTGACTTATTTTGTTTATTTGTAATTAAACCCGAGTCAAGGTATGAGATAGTATATAACAAACTAATTAATTAATGTAAATTAAGTTATTAAGTTACAACAGCATATAATATACTTCTACACTACAGTAAGTGAAGAATTGACGCGAGTTTGACATATGGGTTGTGCGCCAAAATTGAATGCAATTCAATGTCATTTAGTTGTAGTAGTAGTGGTGTTGTGTTAGTGATAGACTGGACTTACGTGTCGTTCTGGTCGCCCAACTTGAAGATATGAACAGTTTCTGTATTACTTGAGGCACATAAGAACAATGAGTCCGAACTGAAAGACAACGAGTAGATGGACACACATCGGGCGTAACCGCGACGGAACTCGCAAATGCTCTGTCCGTCCATTACGTTGAACACACGGATTACAGTTCCCTGAAGTGTGTGGCAAACAAATAGACAAACATTGAAAAAGCTATACAACACACGGTATGTCTCAAAACGATGGCAAAAGCGATGCATACTTTCTCGGAAGCGGTGGCGATCTTGAGTCCGTTGGAGTCGAAGGCGATGGCGGCCAACGGGTTGTCGTGAGCGGTGATGAGGATTTTGTTCTGTAGATTTTGTGCATCGAATACATTCACTTCTCCTTTCGTATTACTGGCCGGATATGCGAACAAACAGTTGTCCGAATTGGGCGACAGAGCGCACAGACCGCTGGGATTGGACGGCATGTCTTTGATTGTGTGCAGGAGTTTCATGTCGCGGATGTTGTGGATATAGACGCTCTCCTCCAGACACACGATCAGTCGTTGTCGGTTCAGTTTGACGGCCAGTATTGAGTTGGTGTACGCGTTGTTGCAAATCTCGGTCTTCTTCTTGAAGTGACACACCTTTAGCTTTCGCGGCGACGACAGCGAGACGATCGCCAACAGCGACGATGAGAACAGCCGCTCCACAATCCGGATGTCCTCCGAGCCTATCGTCACAGACCATACATCCAGACAACAGACGAGAAAACACATTTATTTCAATACAAATGTATACATAATTTGCAAATTATTTGGTAATCAATCAATCGTTTGACGTTTTTTCATATAAAGTACTTTTACTGATAATGAAAAAAAGTAATCAAAACTACTTTTGCCATAAATTTAATTAATGCTTAGTTTTTAGTTTACATTCGCTTCCCATTTATCTTATAAACATATATACATTTGGAGTGGATTTACAATTGGCTTCAAATCGACAGACAGTATGTTATCATAAAAATTGAATAAATTGTTGACAAAAAAGAGGCCAAAAAACACACACATATTCATATGGGAGACAAAGAAAAACAAGTGTCATATGATTGATGACACGCATAATAGGTATGGGATCTACTCATACATACCGTCTTCATGTAGTAAATCTAGTTTATCGGTCGAACTCAAGGCGTATAACTTGTAACCAGTTCTGGTGCCGATGGCCAGTGACCTAATAAGCATATGTCAAACATTACTAAACAATTCATACTAAACACTGGCTTTACTATCAATGCATTCAATACAACAACACATATAAACGTGCGTTTAATGTATGTTAAGGTCGTTTAATGTCTATCTGTTTCGCTGCTAATTATTATCAGTCATTACTTTAAGGCCTGAAAGACATTGAAAACGAAATAGCATTCAATACAACAACACATATAAACGTGCGTTTAATGTATGTTAAGGTCGTTTAATGTCTATCTGTTTCGCTGCTAATTATTATCAGTCATTACTTTAAGGCCTGAAAGACATTGAAAACGAAATACATTTTTTGCTTATTTTTTCTCTCAAATACATTATACATATTAGCCATCAATTGAATGACTCATTAAAGCAAATAAAAACAAACAAAGATTGCAATCAATGGTAACATAAATGAGACAATGAATGGTATGACACGTACGACGAGTCCTGATTGAAGTTAACGAACACCGAGTTTGCCGTCTCATCCGTGTCCGCACTCATGGCTGGCGACAACTCTTCACGTGTCAGTTGTCGAGCATTTAACGGATCCAATAGCCTATTCACAGACAGCTATTGTCTTATAACATATCACAACACAAATCAATGGTAACTGTGTTTTGGTCGACAACAACAACAACACCACTACTACTCAAAACGTATGTCTCGTTTGCAGTGCAATGACAGCAACCAAACGGTTCATCAATTCATAGATGCAGTGGTGAGTGGTTTAGCGGATCAGATGATCGTTGTCTCGAGTTTGAGGTATGAAATGAGTGGTCAATCGCTGTGCCATATAATGGTTGTTGTGATGAGTGATCAGCTGCTAATGTCTGGCAATACTCTCTATGCGTACAATAGTAAACAACACAACCATTGAGTCGACACAACACAGCAGTAAAGCGTAGTTATTATCCAATATATACTGTACTCTATCTCTATGTGAACGTTATGTGAATGGTTTGCCTCTCAATCGCGTACTGAACGCCACTTTCAATGCAATTCAATGCGAAATTCAAGCAATCAATGCATTCACACATCAATTATGTCTCCCATTGTGTACTCCAATGCAAACACTGTATTCACCACTACTTCTACACCAATACACTCTACTCCCGGACCACTCAATGCTTTGTTTTATTAGTCGTAAACTTAAATAAACAAAAACTTTTTATTCATTTAACAAAATATAAAAAACTATATTTAAGTGTTTGATGTGTTTTAACGCCAAAACACAGTAACCCTATAAACCGATCACTTATTAAAAGATAAAGTCATTTAAACAGTACTTTACTTCACTCTAAACACAAACTTCTCGATCACTATCTTTCATATGATTTTAATTTATTACAAAAACCTTATGACAACTTTTGCACAGATGTTGTCGATTACGACATCACATATTCTGTCCCTCTTTTCGCCAAATAATCATATCTTTCGTATATATCTTCAGTACGTGTTTTGCCATTCATTACATTACATGACATGATATAAACTTTTGCACAGATGTTGTCGATTACGACATCACATATTCTGTCCCTCTTTTCGCCAAATAATCATATCTTTCGTATATATCTTCAGTACGTGTTTTGCCATTCATTACATTACATGACATGATATGCTCTAATCCTGTGATCTCGTAATCCCTATACCATTGCCTATACCTGTATTCTACTGTATCTATGCATAAGTCAATTGAACAGTAGTTTTGCAACAAAACTTTTGTTGTGTAGTATTTGTGCCTCAATTTGTTTACTACAAAATATAGAGGTTTTAGTGAACTTTTTTGCCGTTTAAAACAAAGGAGAAAAACTTATGTCAGTTTTGTCAATGAATTATGCGTTCACAACAGCATTGGCTTTAAATGAAAAGTTTGTTCAAAAAAGTTTTGTTCAGCGAATCTGTGTTACGGCTTATGTGTTACTGAACTGCAAATCCTTTCAAATTAGCGCTGAATTGACATTTATTTTGGCAAAAAGCACTGTATATGCAGTTAAACGACTTTAATTAGCGCCTATTAAGCTAACCATACATTGATAAGCACATTTGCACATGATACATTTGCAACAATAGCCTATGGGCCAGTCGTTGGGTATAGTTATGTAATAGGAGTTATGTTAATTGAACAAGCTAACTTACACCAACTAAAACGATAATGTTAAAAATTCCTATAAACTTTGGTCGGGTTTTTTGAAAACCCGAAAGTGTGGGCCCTATAACCGAATTGAGACAACTCTAGTGCCAATACAAGTGAATAACGTTTGCTTCAATCTCTGCCCACTTATTACAAAATAGACTCCAATTGTATTAAAACAAATTTTTTGCACAAAAAATTAACTTTTAGTTAATTATAAAAATAAATGCCACAAAAGTATTACAAAATGACATTCACTTTGTTTGATAGAAATGTAAATGAAGTGCAAATCGATATGAAATATGGGCTCGTATTTGACGGACGGGTGGATGGAGTGCACGGATAGAGTGTGTCGTCTAGTGTTTCGCTCAATCATAACATGAGTTATGTTTTGAATGAAAAACATTTTTTGATAACATTTTTGCTACAAATTGATGATTGAAACCATTTTTACACACATTTCTAATGATATTGTTTTCGATATAATCATTAATAAAAGCATTGATTAGTATTGTATGCGATACTGAAGATCACTCGCGAGAGACACAAGCGGTGGTTAAGCGGCGGTGATATCGGGCGCGACGATGGCGTCGACCGGTGTATTGCCGTTCGTGAGGGGCGTCGACTTGAGCCGCAACGAGTTCCAGGTATGTGACCATCACTTGATCCACCACTCGGTCATCACATGTCATAACTCATGTGTTTGTTCCCATAGGACGAGAACTTTCCCAAAGAGTTGCGAGACATGCGAAACGTGCGATGGCTTAAACTGAACCGAACGCGTATGGATTGGATCCCCGAAGAGTTGGCCGCAGTGTCCAAACTGGAGACCCTATCCCTCGTCCGCAACAATTTGGTGACACTTCACGGAGAGTTGGCTTCGTTGCCGTCGCTTCGGTACCTGAGCTGTCGTCACAACAATATTAAAAACTGTGGCATTCCTTCGGAGATCTTCCAATTGGACGAACTCTTGGTTCTCGATCTGAGTTACAATCAGTTACGGGATGTGCCCAACGAGTTGGACCGAAGCAGAGGTCTTCTTGTGCTCAACTTAAGCCATAATAGCATTCAAACGATTCCCAACCAATTGTTTGTCAATTTAACCGATTTATTGTATTTGGATTTAAGCCATAATTGTTTAGGTATTTGTTTTGTCCGCCAATTATTGCTATTTTTATTAATATTTTTGGTGTAAATTATTTGTAGACACACTTCCGCCGCAAATGAGACGTTTGGTGAGTCTTCAGACGCTTGTGTTAAGCCATAACCCGTTAGCGCACAACCAGTTAAGACACTTACCATCGTTAACATCACTCAAGTCATTAAACCTTCGCAATACTGAGCGCAACCTCCAGAATATGCCCCACTCTTTGGACGGTTTGGTTCAGTTAACAGAACTCGACTTATCGTCCAATAAAATCAAAACAATAATAAATACTTGTATGACATTATGTAATACATAATTATGGGATAGTATATCATTAGTTTGACTTGGAAACAAATGATATAATTTAATATATTCTTATGGCTCTGTCTTGAGATACAAGATGGCCGATAAGGATGATGTCGTGGAGAGGGTTGAAAGGAGTAGCTCTCTGACAAAAGTGGGTTATTGTCCAGAGAGTGGTTCACAATAGCCGTGACCAGAGGTTGTGGAGGAGTGTTGACTGTGTGCACAGTGTCGAGGACTGTGTGCACAGTGTCGAGGACTGTGTGCTCAGTGTCGAGGACTGTGTGCTCAGTGTCGAGGACTGTGTGCTCAGTGTCGAGGACTGTGTGCTCA